TGTGAGCTTGAGTGTTCTGAAAAGTTATATTTGGTCTTCAAATGGCTGCAATCCAGGCCAAAGAGGCGACGCTCTTTGTTACTTCGGAAACATGGCTTGAACAATTTCTCTTCCACGACGTAATCCGATTAAAAACCAATCTCTTTACCCGTCGGCTTCCTGTGGCTGTCATGCGACCGGCTATTGCAGTTAATAATACAACAGCTTCTTGTCATTATTTGTTTCTTTTTATCGCTGTGTGACTGTTTTCATGTGAAAACTTTCAATCTCTTTTAGATTATGATAGGAAAAATGGTGATTTGGCCAGAGTTGGCCTAGCACATGCACACCCCACATACCTTGAAACATTAGTTTTAGAGGCCCAAAACACCCAACCGAACCATTTAATTTTTGTTAAATTAAAGACTAATTATGTCTTGGGTTTTAACTATTTAATAATAAAGAAAGAAACATCACAAAAAGCACATAAGGTCATGAAAATTAATCAGGATTTAGCAATTCATTGACACATCCACCTTATTTATTGAAAGTATCGGTATCGACGATACTGGCCCGTATCTACTTGTTATCGGATTGATACCAAAATATGCATCTTATTGCTAGCCGTGGGGATTAGCCAGGGCTCTAGAAACTAATTGGTTGCATATTCGATCTAATTTCTCAATAGTGTGACTAATCCTAGGTCGTCCAAGTAAAAAGGTCGTCTGTGGTCAATGACAGACAACATACTGCCCATATTGTGATCTAAACCAATCAGAGATAGTCAAGGGCGGAAACTCTAAGATGTCTATGCCCAATGTATGGATATTGAGATGATCAGTTCCAAGCCTTTATGGCATTTTTAATTTATACTGCCTTTTTATGTTATATATCTTGAGATGTTTAAATTTCAGCTCAGTGAAGCACTTTAAGCACAAGAACTTCTTCAATGGTGTATTTTTTGGACTGTAAGGCGGACTTAAAATCCTTTAATTTTCTCAAAAGTGTGCCTTATGTATGAATTCTGGTTGATAAGTGAAACTTTTTTCAACTTATTCTTCTTGCTTCCTCCACTTCCATACCATTGATTCATTAATGTTCAATTCTCTTGCAGCTGCTCTATTTCCATGTTCTCCTGGGTGACTGATAAAGTTTGCTTCATAAGCAGAGTCTCTTAAAAGGTGCCATTTTGGGGGCCTTATACACACACAACAGAGTATTATTATGTTTTTCAACAGTGTCCACTGCCTCACTGTGGTTTTATCTGAATCAAGTGTAAGTTTGTGGACCTTGTTGTTAAAGTCAGTGGAGCTTTTTATGGAGGTGTGGGGTGTGTTCCCCACAAAGGGTACTAGGATGGTAGTAATGTGCTGGACAATGTTGTAGGTGGCTGAGTTTATGCTGCTACCAATGAGTCTGAGTGGGACTCCTTTGTGTATCTATGGAAGTCCATATATACAGGGTGCAGCATCCCCTGGGTAAAGGTGGTGGTATGCAGGGCGCTCAGTGGCTTTTTCCCTTTCAAGTTCTTGTAGGCAGCTGATGACTTTCTTTTTGTA